GAGACAACACCACAATAAATGGCGGGAGCCAGAGGGGATTGTGGTCCTCTTGTATGCATGTACTTGGAACGTATGACGACAAGAGGTAAACAGTTTCTACCTCCCACAGATAGAGATAGATGTGCAGTAGGGTTGTGGTTTCGACATTTTATGGCTAGAGAGATATATGTGAGACGTTGCATACCTGCATCCGCGTGCTGAAAGTGTGCATAAACAACCATTTGTTATTGGTAAGTTTGAGCAAGTGTTGTTAACATATATACTCTTTGTTGGTTTGAAAATGTTTGGTTAAGTACCTAGAATTCAATAATTTCAGTTCATATTTGTTGGTTTTAGATGTGTAGAAAATCTCATGGCCATAACGTTTCTGCAGGTTAATCCTTCAAGTGAGCTGCGTGAAATTGATGTATTTGGATGTAAGCTCCCTATTGTTAGGAGCATTTGGATGTACTGTATGGGGCTAATTGATGTATCAATGTGTTGTCAAGTGTAAATAAGAATTGTTTTTTTTGTTTAATTGATTTGTTGTTTAATTTCAATCTGGATTATGTTGAAGGCAAAAAAGACCTGTTGAAGGTATACTTTCGCAATGCGAAAGTCAAATTTGCGTTGCGTTTTTTGCATTGCGGTTGTTGTGAAAGTCAAATTCGCGTTACGATTGTTGCGAAAGTCAAATTTGCAACACAAAAATTGCAACGTGGATTTGACTTTTGCGTTGTGAATTCAAGGAAAACACATTCAAAAAGATAATAGACAACAATCTGATAAGTGATAACAACTAAACAGATCATAGCAATGTTCAAACTCAAGTTACTAATGCATGTCTAACTGAAAATGTATGCATTCACACATAAAATACACATAATACAATGTTTGCATTTAAAAATCACCTAAGTTAATAAGTCCCAAAAGGTGAAGCCGGTTGTGATTGGGATTTTGATTTTGATTGCGATTTTGATTTCCTTTTGCTTGGCACCATATGAGCTTTGGATTTTGATGAAGATCCATATTTTGGTAGAAGAAAAGGTGATTGTGATGGCACTGGTGATCCACAGGTCAACCTTGTATGACCACTTTCCTAGCACCAACTACATGTCGATATCCTCTTATCTTCACCCTTAGACGGTATACGATCGTGATTTTTTGGTTGGCCAGGTAGCCTGCTATCCATGACTGGTGGCAAAACTGTTTGTAAGTCATCTGGTATGTCCCACTCAGAAGGATGTGGAATAGGGTAGACAATCTCGGCATAAGTCTGTCGATATGCTTCTGTAGTGTAGCAATCCATAGCATATGCGCTTGAATCATCTTGGTTTAGATGAAGAGAAACTTTTATAACATGGCCACATGGATAACCAAATGTTTGCCATTTCATACAACTACACGTCTTTGCATTTAGATCGACAAGCCCAGTTAAGTTATTATCCAATACTTCAAACAAAGTGTTTAAACATGGTTCAACTCTCCATGACGTTGACTTCACAACACGTTTCGTTATCTTTTTTTTAGTCCATGGTGTAACACGACGTTCCAATGTTCCTGTAAATTTAAATAAATAATACTTAGTAAAATATATTAAATATGATAAGTTATGAATTTAAAGAAATAATACATGCATGGTTTCTTTTCTTGTAGTACCACTGTTGAATAGAGGCTCGAAAAAACTCCATTAACATAGTAATGGGTAATTTTCAGGAATGACGACTTAGAGCGTTGATTGATTCTGCACTATTAGACGCCATGAAACCATATCTTTCTCCAAGTTGATGCACTCTTGACCATCTTTCAAACCCGGCATCTTCTAGTGTTTGAGCACATTGAGGTAAAACACGTTTTAAATAATTTATATGCTTATTAAAATCCACTTCACGATAAGCTTTTACAGCCTTCCACTATGTCCATTTGTGATTTTTTATACCAACAGACCTTGATTTTAGATTTCTGTACAAATGAACACCACAAAGTCCATGAAAAGCATCTGGGAAACACATTCTAACAACGTTGTCAATTGAGTTTGCCCTATCAGATTTGATTGTCAGATTGCTAATAAGACCTATACAATCCCTAAGATGCCCCTTAAACCATGTCCATGAATCAGAGGTTTCAGATTTGCCAACCCCGTAAGCTATTGGCAGTATCCCATTGTTAGCATGCATGACTACTACTAATAAGTTTACTCCAAGGTATCGATCTTTCAAATGTGCTCCGTCAACTATAATAAATGGGCGCATGCAAGTAATAAACGAACAAATCTACAAAATAATATACACAAGAAATATAATCATTTAAATGTGAAATGCATGCAACTAACAAAAATGAGTCAACAAAATTATATTGATTTACTAACCGCAGTACCAATGGCGATAAACAGCAACTCAAAGCGTCAATCTCTATCTGTTTTGATATGAGTTACCGACCCAGGATTTTTCAGCTTTAAATTATGACAATAAGCTGGCAGTTGGGCAAACGATGCTTCTGGTGACCCCCTCAACAATACCAAGGCATAACATTTGGCTCTCCAAGCTTGAGAATATGAGATACTAATCTTGAATCGAGCATTCATGTCAGTCATAATTTCATGTCCCCGATATACCCTGCCATTCAAAAAACATTAACTCAGCCAGAAAACCACCCAACACCTTTTTGTTTGCTTTTCTATGGTGAGAAAAAAACTTGGGTTCTTGAACTTGTATGTTTATCAATAAAAGTCCTAACTTGAAACATTTCACAATATTTTATTCTCTTTGAAATCATATGCCACGTACAGTTTTTGTCAATCATACACTTTGTTTCGAAATGATCTTTGCTTGATTTGTTAACTTTTAGTTGATAGCCATCTTCCACACATTTCGTATACAAAGCTATCTTCAAGTATTCCTTTGTATCAAAACTATCATCTTTCTTGATACGAATAACTTTTGTGTAACAATCAACTGCTATCTTTACCAACTCTTCTTCCGGTATCTGAAGTAATTATGGCATATTCCAGTTATACTCCCGTGGTATTTTCTTATTTTTCTTTTCTTCGGGGACTTCTTTTTCTTCTTCAGGGTTATATGAATTACAGAATGGATGTTCAACATGTTCATTCACAGTCGTAACTTCCTCCTCATTATCATCAACAACATCTTCCTCGGCAGCGGTTGTTTCATCATCAAAATTCGAGTATTGACCAATATCAAAATCATTACATGCAGGGTCTGTTTCTTCTTCTGAAACATCATCAAAATCTAAGTATTGACTAAGATCAAAGTCCGAGTATTGACCAAGATCAAATTTCGAATACTGACTAGTACTCACAATTTTTTCTGTTGGCTCATCATCGTCTAACTGGTCAATACGAAAACCGAAATTTGGTGCTGAAAGTTGATTGGGATTTGGATTAGAGAAAGGTTGTGGGTTTTGAGATTGTGTTTGGTATTGGAAATGTGGTGAAACAAAATTTTCTTGGTGATAAAATTGTGGTGGAACCATTAAATTTTGAGGCTGATAACAACGTTGTACATTGTGAACACCATAAACTCGGGTTGAAGAACTTAGTTGATTACTACCCGCTACTGACCCAACTTCACTACTTTTAGGTTCAACAACATACAATGTAACATCATCTTGCGAAACACCAATGTAAGCAATGAATCATTCAACATCTTCATTGTCGGTTAACAAATAAACTTTACATTTTTTCTGATAAGATATCCTAAATCCACTTAGAGGCTCTAAATTCAATTTCTTTGCAACACGTAACATTAGAGTTTCATAAGTTAACTTTTTTAATGACAGTTTTAGTTGAAGATTCATGGGTAAATGCATATATTGTAAAACACCATGAACATTCTCTCATGACCCTCAAAAACACAAATATATCTAAACATGATCAACATTAGATGATTTCATTCTACAAATTGTAAATTAATTTACTAAACAAACGAGCTATAAACTAGATATCATCACTAACTTAGAGAAAATATATCTTTATTAAGTTTATAGTTGATAATTTGGGAGAGAAATCATTGAAAAATTATATAGAAATAAAATTATGTAAAAAAAATTAGAGATAAGGAAAGATGTCGTTGGATATAGGAACGGATGTTGCCGGAGAGAGTGAGAGATGGAGATGGAATGAGTTGCGATTTAGGGATTTAGGTTTATGAGTTGTTGCTGCTGCGTAGTTTATATACCCAAAACATTTGTGTTGCAAAAATAAAAGTTGTTGCGAAATTAAAATTCGTGTTGCGAATTCGAAAATCGAGTTACGAAAACAAAATTCGTGTTGCGATTTAGAAAATCTTGTTACGAAAAAGAAACTTGTGTTGCGAAAAAGAAATCCGCGTTGCGAATTTGAAATCCCGTGTTGCAAGGAAACTATGTTGTGAAATTAGAGTTCGCGTTGTGAATTTGTTGGTCATTTTTGTAAATCCAAAAAAAATTGGTTAAAATCGTATATTATAAGACATTTTTTTCTCTAATTTTTTTGCCATCCTATTTTAACCTTATCTGTCTCTCCATGTATTTCTTCTATTTACACGTGTATACTGATTTATTAAATTATACATTTTACTTATTTCGGCTTTTTATTCGTCTCCTGCTTATATCTTTTAATTAGATTCTATGGCCATATTTTTCTCCAACATGACTTCTCTTGGTTAACTTTTTAAAGCTTCTGTTTCTATCTGTCATTAGAAATATAGTTAATATTTATCCCCATCATTAAATCTTTATTATTTTTAGAACTCGTTGCTTGTTAATTAATCGAGTTTTTCTTATTTTTCTGGGGAAAAAAAGAAATTTTCCCGTCAAACGTATTACAAGGCTAAGGAAATCTCCCGACATTATCACAAAGATCAATCTCAAGTCTTTCCAATCCGATCAAGGTATAATATCTTGTTAGTATTTCATGTTTTCCAATTCAATTTAGGGTTCAATGCACGAATTTCTATCTAATTTCTCCATCGAATTTTGACCTAGTTTTCATGGCATGGCATTGAATTTTGTGGCAGAAAATGAGTTTGCTAAGCATCTGGCAGTACGAGGAAGATTCATACAAGGAATCCATCGAATCGTTGAAGAAAGAGCTTCAAGAATCCAAAGAATCCGAGAAGAAACTGCAGGATTTGTTGTTGATTCAGACCAAAGAGTTGGAGAAAACCAAGGTTTCGCTCGAGGAATCGAAGCTAGAAATCAAGTCCCTCCTCGAGAGTCTCGAGAAACACGAGAGCTCGTCCGAGATAGCCTCCCAGAGTTCCACCAGCGATGATCATTCTTCGGCCGAATCCCTCGAACACGAGCTTCGAGTCACGAAATCAAACTTGGCTAAAACACAGGAGAAAGCCAAGAGTCTAGCCGAAGAGGTGATGATGTGGAAGAACGAGCTTCAACACACAATCGAAGCCGAGGAAAACAACAAGAAAGCCATGGATGGTTTAGCTTCGGCATTGCAGGAAGTGATAATCGAATCGAATCAAACCAAGGATAAGCTCTCGTCAACAGAGGAAGAGCTCAAGAAGACTAAAAAGGAAGTCGAGGAATTGAAGGTGACGCTGAAGAAAATCAAGGATCAATGCGTGGACGAACGAAGAGAAGCCGATCGACAAAAGAACATTGCCGAGAGATTAAGGGTAGAAGCTGAAGAATCGATCATCGGATGGAGTGAACAGCAGAAAGGGTTCGTCGAATGCATTAAAAAGGCTGAATCAGAAAAGAATCCCGCTCGAGAAGAGTGCAAAACATTGAAGGATTCCCTTAAAGAAGCAGAGGAAGCCAACAATAAATTCAAGGAAGAGATTCAGAAACTAAGGGACATAATGAGACAGGCCTTAACCGAAGCAAATGTAGCCAAAGAAGCAGCTAGTGCTGCTAAGGAAGAAATTTCGAAACTCAAAGACGCACTCGCTCAAAAGGAAGAAGCTTTGAAATTGCTTAACCAAGAAAACGAGAAGCGTGCGAGAAGCAAAGCAAGCGCACGCTCAAAATCACCGGCGAGAGGGACCGCGTTGATGACGATGAAGCAGTACTCGGAAATGGATGATTCCAAGCAGTGTAAGGAACATAATGACCATGATAAAGAAAGCGAACAACCTACACTAAGACCAAGAAGATCGCCGTCACCGTTACCGGTTCTGGGGAGGACTGCATTGTTAACGATGAGGCGGTACTCAGAAACGGAGTAACATAATGATCATGATCATGAAAACGAATATCCCACACTACCAAAAAGACCACCATCACCATCGGTTGCGAGGAGGACCACATTGTTAACGATGAGACAGTACCCTGAAATGGAGAATTCTGAGCAGGGTTAGGAACATAATGATCATGATAAAGAAGGCGAACATCCCACACTACCGAAAAGACCACCATCACCGTCGGTTGCGAGGAGGACCGCGTTGAAACGATGAGGCAGTACCCTGAAATGGAGAATTCCGAGCAGGGTAAGGTACATAACGATCATGATAAAAGAAGTCCAAAATCCCACACTTGGACCAAAAAGACCACCATCACCAATACAGACGACGAGAAAGGCCATTTTGATGACGATGAAGCATTACAAGGAACATAATGATCATGATAAAGAAAACGAACAATCTGCACCAAGACCATCGAGATTACCATCAGTGTTACCAACGATAACGACGAAGGTGAGAATGAGCGTGTCGATGGCGAATTTGAAGTTGTGTTCGGAAATGGAGGATTCTGAGCAGGGTAAGAAACAAAAACCAACGGATTCAACACATCATGACAAACATAGTGATCATGATAAAGATATCGATCAATCCGCACCAAGACTATCAAGATCAAAACCAGCATTACCAGCAACAATGACGATGATGAGAATGAGCTCGTCGATGACGAATTTGAAGTTGTGCTCGGAAATGGAGGATTCTGAGCAAGGTAAGAAACAGAAACCAATGGATTCAACACGTCATGACAAGGAACGTAAAGACCATGATAAAGAAATCAAACAATCTGCACCCAGACCACCACCGTTACCAGCAACAAAGACAACAATGAAATGTTCAGAAATGGAGGATTCTGATCAAGGTGAGAAAAAGGAACCAACGGAATCAACACATGATTACAAGGAAGAACATAAAGATGATGATAAAGAAAGTGAACAACCCGAGCCAAGGCCATCAGGATCACCATCACCGTTACCACCAACAATGACAACAATGGAATGTTCAGAAATGGAGGATTCCGATCAAGGTGAGAAAAAGGAACCAACGGATTCAACACATGATGAAAAGGAACATAAAGATGATGATGAAGAAAGGGAACAACCCGCACCAGGATCATCATCACCGTTACCAGAAACAACGAGCTCGGAAACGGAGGACCATGATCAAGATAAGAAACATGAACCAACGGATTCAACAGATGATAAAGAAAGTGAACAACCGGCTCCAGGATCACCCTCTCCGTTACCGGAAACAACGACGATGAAGGAGAGCTTGGAAATGGAGGACCATGAGCAAGGTAAGAAACAGGAACCAACGGATTCAGCACATGATAAAGAAACTGAACAACCGGCGCCAGGATCACCATCACCGTTACCGGCAACAGCAACGATAAACGAGTGCTTGGAACCGAAGGATAATGAGCAAGGTAAGAAACAGGAACCAATGGATTTAACACAACATAACAAGGAACATAAAGATCAAGATAAAGAGAGTGAGCAACCCGCGCCAAGATCATTAAGATCGCTAACAGTATCACCGTTACCAACAATGAGGAGGTTGAGGAGGGCGATATCGATGACGATGCATGAGTTATTGAGATTGGAGGATGATGAAACAAATAAGTTACAAAAACCAACGAGTCCAACACTTCATGATAAAGAAAACGAACGACCCGCACCATTACCAATGAAGACGACGGAGAGGTCGATGTCGATGTCGATGTCGATGACGATGAAAGAGTCCTTGCCAATGGAGGTTGATGAGATAAATAAGATGCAAAATCCGGACTCAAGCTCAGATAAACCATTAATGGGCTCAAGCTCAACACAACTTTCCAAAGAACAAAAAGATCTAGATAAAGAAATTGCTAAGAAACTAACTCCTCCTCCTTTTATACCCACCAACTCTTGTTTGATTATAAAATTCCCACTTAAACACAAGTACCCAGAAGAAGAGCCACCCAAAGAATCCGATGATGATTCGGACTATGAAGATTTCGACCCGCTTAAGGGTTCCATCTTCGACATAGCTGAAACCCCAAAAACTGAAGCAGAGTCCACAAATCAATCGAAGAAGGCTGATGATGAATTTGAGGAGGTTAATAATTCTCACCCTGATTCAAACCATGTTGATGAAGAAGGTGATAGAACCAGAACAAGGAGATTGTTTTCAAAACTTGGTGGTCTTATAGGAGTGAGAAATTTTTACAGGAGAGAACAACCTCCCGTAGAATGATCAAACGAATACCTAACAAAATCTGCTGTATCTATTGTTTTATTTATAGTATGATTAATTTTATTTATTTATTTTATTATTTTTCTTAGTTATTTAAATAAGATCTTATATTACAAACTTATTAAGTGATTGATTTAAGATTTTAAATTTAAACGATCGGCTTAAAAGATGTATTATTAGTAATTAATAATGATTATAAATAAATATTATTTTATAATCATATTATATTATTAAAAAAACATCTTGTATTTTATTTAAAACTATATATTTTTCAATTTATAACATAAAAGCTTATATCTTTGGCAAAATTAGTAGGGTAATGCAGGCGGCCCAATTATTTAGTCCAATAGGACATCTTGGTTTTTATTTTGAGATCTAAGTCAAAAGTTATAGTGGAGCTTGAATTCGTCATGCGTGACGAGTTTTATGGGATATAATTTTTTAATGGATCGTGGGTCGTGGGTCTTACAAGCCGAATATATTTAATATATATTCACAGACTCGTCATATTCGCGTGACGAGTCTGAATAAAAAATATTTTTTTAAAAAATTTAAAAAACATTGTTATATATATATATATATATTATTTTAATGGGAATGGAACTCGTCGCCGGTGTGACGAGTTCCAACGAGTAAAAATTTAAATTTTTCGACCGTTGGGGTGACTGTTGGCGAACGATCAATTTTTTTTTTTAAATTCAATGGTACTCGTCACGCCTGTGTGACGAGTTCCAACGGCTATTTTCAATTTGAAAAAACTAGTCGTTTATAGTCGTTGGATAGAGTAGTATAACTAGAGGTTTAGGTTGAATTGATTTTTCACTTGAAATTAAACATTCTATTGAGGGTAAAACTTTTTTCTTGAAGATTTTGTGTTGAAATGACCTCAAGAGAAGAAATGTTACGTCTTGATAATGTTCATATTTTTTCGACCGAGTTGACTATGGTAAATTAATTAGTTTTATTTGATTTTAGTTTTGACAAAATTATAGTATTAATAATAATAATTTATATAATTGTATTAATTAATTTATTTTCAAATTGTAGCGAGAAAAACGAGGCATTCGTCACCGAGGAATGACAAATGAAGAGTCGCATCAGCGAATTGTGATATATGTTCAACAATCCAGATTATATGTTCGTGGTTTTAAGGTGATATTGGCACTGATATCGGTGTTGATTGAGCGTTGGAGGCCCGAAACACATATATTTCATTTTCCTTCTGGTGAAGTGATGATAACATTGGAAAATATCGCGTATCAACTTGGCATTCCGATTAATGGTATGCAATTGGTGCTTCACAACAATTATGCTTGAGATGCATTTATTTCTGATTTATTGGGAAAGGAGACTCCAGTCGATGTCTTTGATGGGATTCAGATATAGAAAATATGGCTGGAAAGAGAATTTAGAGTAGACGGACAATCAACGTAGCAAAAGGTGAAATATGCAGCCCGAACATATCTTATGAGGTTGAACGATTGGAGGGATCTTGTTACCAGATAAATCAGGCAATTTGGTGGACACCCAATATCTTTCGGTATTGAACGATTTTCTTGTAAGTTGTTAATTTAGTTGGGGTTCCGCAATTTTGGCTTTTTTGTATCGTGAACTTTTCAAGGTGACCATAGTGGTTAGAGGGAAAAAGCGGATGTAGCGGGTTGTTTAGTTTTGCTCCAATCATGAGCGTAGTATTGTCTCCCGTTTTTTACACCTATTACATCCGCTCCTATAGAGTTTCCTCTCGCCACAAGGTAAATTCTTATATTTAAAGTTTTGATATTTTATAATATTTATTTAAATATTTTGAAAATGACAATAAATAATGTAGATGTTATTTTTTTTGTTTAGATAGCGACACCGAATAACCGATACAAAGTTGTCGAGTTCAACCAAAGTAGATATCCGGATGAGGATCGATATCGTCGGTATATATGCGGTAAATATTAATAATTTTTGCATTAATATTGAAATTATAATATTAATTCTTTAATTATACCAACATAACGAAATCACTTAGGTCCATCAATATGATGTTCCCTCTAGATGTATTTCATCGCCAAATGAAACAAAAAATTGAGAGAAAACTTGAAGCTTTTGTTTCATGTTTAAGTTATCGGCACATGATCTTTTCAAATCCAATCTCATATGAAACAATCCAGTTTGATTATGATGACGACAATGTCGATGTTATGGTTCGACTTCATCAATCATCAAATAATAATATGGTTGAGATTTATGCCAAAACCACGATTACAACATATATTTCAACCTTAGCAATACCAGTACCACGAACAGAAGAAGCATGACCCTCTGAACCACATGCAAGTGTTGTTGATGATAACCATGTTGGACGGTTCGGTGAAAGCCTTACTGAATTTAACGAGGATGGTGAAGATATTGTTCAATTGCTGGAAGATGACAAAACACTGTTAGTTGATGATTATGATGTTTTTGAGGCTACTTCAGAGGGACAAGGTTTGGATGTTGATCCTGATATATGAAAGAAAACTATTTCACGATGTCAAGGATTGCATAATGCTCAAAATATTTGGGCACAAACACACCGTTAACCTAAAATGCCTCATCATGATTTGCCTCGGTATTATCATCCAATTGCAATGCATGACATTAACTACGATGCTATACGAAATCCTGAAATCTCTGATATGCCAGAGTTATATGATGCCTACTGGGGTTCTTTAGATGAACGATCATTTAAGTTGGCGATTGGGTCTTAGTTTGAAACAAAAAAGGCACAACTAACAATCAAATAGTACTACATTAAAGCTTATCTTCAATTCTATGTCGCAGAGTCTAATCAAAAGACATATTTTGTAAAGTGTGTACATCATGATGTTGACTGTAAGTGGAGGATATGAGTATCATACCTACAACGGAAGATGTTGTGAGAAGTCACAAGGTTCAATGCACAACACGCATGTACAATAAGTTCGTTCACACAAGACCACAAACATTTAGATTCTGATGTCATATGCTCGTATGTCAAGATATTAGTGGGGGAAAAATCCAAGAGTACTTGTTTCTGTGTTAGTGGCATCAATTCGGAATACATTAGGTTATATTCTGACTTATTAGAAGGCATGAATGGCTAAAAAGAACGCAATGAACTTATTGTATGGTGATTGGGATCAGTCATATAATAAGCTACCACGTCTGCTGCAAGCAATAGAATTTTTCATCCCTGGAACCATTGTTGGATACTATACTCTTCCTGCAGTCACGCTTCAGGGAGACGTTAATCCTGGAAAGAGAATTTTTGGTGGCTTGTTCTGGGCGTTTAAGTCAGCTATTGAAAGGTTTCGATTTTGCAAACAAATGATTCAAGTCGATGAGATTTTTCTGTATGAGCTCTACAGACACGTCTTGATGATAGCCGTTTGCACAAGATGGAGACAAAAATATTTTCCCGCCATTGTTAAAAATGAATCGGAGGAAACTTGTATTTTTTTCTCTCTAACTTGCGTTCCCATGTTGTCACTCAAGATGGGATTTGCATGATCTAAGATCGGTCGCTTGGGTTGTTAATCACAATTTCTAGACCAAAAAGTATATGGACACCTCCCCACGCATATCTGACATATTGTATACATCATATTGTATCTAATGATATGAAGAGGGTTAAGTATAAAAAGATCAAAAAAAATATATTATCAACATTGGTAACTATTGTGTCATTTCTGATTAATTATTTATACTTCATTTATGTTTTTTTTTTGTATTTTTCAATAACATTTATTTTACTTCTTTTTAGGGTATTCTTTTGTAACATCCCAAAAACCAAAAAGTGACTAAATTGTAAGATTTTGAAACTTCAAGTCTAATTTTAGAAAAATTTGAAAGTTCAGGGACTTAATTGGAATAGCTTTGTGTAGGATTAAATAGCAAAGAAGTAAGGAGATAAAGGAATAATGGTCATTTGATAAGAAAATGAATAAAAAATTATTTTGAATCATTTTGGGGTATTTTAAATGGCACGTGGAATGAAAGGAAAATTATCAGAGAAGTATAGAAATTATCTTTCTTTTTCATCCTTCTTCCTCAGTGAGTGTCCTAGTAAAGGTAAGAACTTTTCAGCTAATTATTTCTTGAAATTTATGAATGGTTTTGATTGTTGGAGTATTAGGAAAGAGTATAAAAACTTAAAGGGATGTAGAAACTTAAAGAATTAGAAGTTATGGAGGATTTAACATAAGAGGTTTTTAAGTGAAATTGTGGAAAGGAGTTAGTAAATGAATTTTGAAATGAATTTTGACTTGTCATATGCTGGAATGAGAAAACTAAAGTATTAGAAATGGATTTAGAACATGTTGAATAATTGGTATGATTTTTGGTTCTAGGTGTTTTATGAGAATTTTTGGATGTCTAAGTGTATTAAAGTGTTATAAGTAGTTATGGATAAGTGTAGTTAAGTTATATGTTGGAAAGGAGATCAAAATAAAAGAGTTAGATAGGTATTGGTAAATTTTCGGGCTAAAATGAGTATATTATGGGCAAGAGGTATTGATACTGGATGGATAGTACCGATATTTCCCAGTGAAAATAAGCAATATTTGAGTAATGGTATCGATACTGAATGAACAATATCGATACCATAAGATAAAAGTTAATAAATCCTTCATAGGGTATCGATACCGAAGTGGTAGTATCGGAACCATGGGTATCGATACGATTATATAGGTATCGGTACCATTTTTAGAGTGAATTCCAGAATCAAGAATAGGTATCGATACTGAAGTATAGTATTGATACCATGATAGAGAAGTATTGGTACTGTACCTAGAGTACTGATACTAGTCAAATGAAAATAATGAATCAAGTGTCTTTTTTAGATTCAATTTTGATGATTGATTAGTAGTGATTCAAATTACGATATTTATATGGATCGTATATTCGTGTAGATATCGAGCGAAAGCAAAATCCAGACAAGTCAACAAAGTAAGATTTGCCACGAGAGAGATAAGAGATTGGTGTTGACT